GCTGAATCATAACACATTAGTGTTGCATGCTGGCTATTTACCAGTTTGTCGCACAGAAGTTTCAATTTGTTTTAACTCGTCGTCTATTTCTGGGTACTGCAGGCCTTATCATCACTGTTTAAGTGCTGAGGTTGTTTACCGTGCATATTTATAAGTCAGTCAGTTTTTTTGTTGAACTGTCGTCGGTTGACATTTTGGTTCCTCCTTGGTCTCCGTGTTTGTTTTCTTCACGTTCTTTTCTCACACAAGAAATATCTGTCACATCAAACACTCCAAATCGCCAAATCACCTGACACACAGTTATTTGGTAAAGCAAAAAATGTATTGCTTTGTTTTACGGATTTGTAATCATTTTCTAATAATTTCCAAGAAGTCCTGGAAAAAACTATGTGTGCTAATTGAACACTATCTCTATTTTCCCTATAATTATTAACAAATACATATCTTGAAACATATTTGTAGGAAAACATATAATAAAGCATTACTATTAAAAAACAACAACTGAAACCTCAGTCCTCTCAAATCAATCAATGTATTTTTGCCCCATCATTTTAAATTAGCATAGCATTTCCTTAACCTTTGACTTTTTCTGTTTTTCTTTTCCTTTTTCTGTTATTGTGATTCTGGTGGAAAGAGAAGATGAGAGGGAGAAAATGAACGGTGGAAAACAGAGACCACAAGATTTAACAAAGGATTCACCTTCCTTTGTTAATCTTTGTCTCTGTTTTCCACCGTTCAAAAGAGTGCTAAAAATATATTATTGCAACAAATTCTACAACGTATGCATACAATTAACAGACATGAATAAACATGTGAAGTTTCCACTATTCACACAGACACCCCTCAGGCCAGTCACACACAAATTACATCATCACTGCAGGTTTCAAGGTTTTTCTCAAGTGACTTTAAAGTTTAGCACCCCCCTCAGCCCAATAAGTGTACTGTGTGTGAGACAGTTCCTCAAGTGACTCACTGCACCATCCCATAAATCCATCAAACTAGTTTTGTCTGAGCTGCTGCAGTGGAAACTTTCTTAAAAGAAACCATTATAAGTAATAATAAGCAGTGGTGGAAATAGTTTTCAGTTTTTTTACTTAAGTAAAAAAACAAATACAAAAAACAATTCCACAATGTGAAAACACTCCATCAAGGAGTCAAAGTTTTTCATTTAAAATGGTACTATTGATAAAAGTATAGCAGTTTTCTCACTTTAATTTACTTTAAGTTTTAAAAGTAAAAGTAGTAACTCCGATATAATAAATTATATTATTAATGCATGCTGTCTTGGCCCCTTCACTCTTGTCACTATCGATTAAAGGCAATTTTTTCCTTTTTTGTGAAAATGTTGAAAAGTGTTTACCTCTTAGGACCCCAAATAGTTTTCAAATTTTCAAATTTAAATGAAACAGTGTGACAAGTTTAGATGGTAAATCACTCTCGGGTGGAACTGCAAACAACTCATAGATGTCTGATACATAACAAGAAGCCCCAACTGTATACTGCTTTTTAGTAAGAGATCACAATCCAAATTATTATTATTATTATTATTATTATTATTATTATTGAATAAGCTTATGATTTTTTTTTTACTAGATTAAATATAGTGGGAAAAGACTACAATATCTTATGATATCTCTGGATTGTAGATGTACTCAGTGTCTTTAAGTGCAGTATTTGACTAACCATACTAGACTGTAATAAGTTGGTAAGATGCCTAAAAAGGGAGTGAGTTCAAGTCTAACCCCAGTGCCTAAAGATTGCTGTAAAAGATGTGTTTATGGATTCTAAGTAAACCTACTGTCTTTCCATCAGAACATGAATGACATGAGTGGCTGTAACATGACATAACATGCAAACAGGTAACAGGGCTTTTCTCCAGTCAGCTTTTGTTTCTCGTCATCACAAACATACTGAGAGAGTAACTCAGTTTTCTTCTCATGTTTTTCTCAGTCCACAAGGTTTCGGGGGCTCATAGAGTTAGGGGTGTTTTTTTTTTGGTGAATATTTGAAGTGTGTCTTATGACAGAAGAAACTAAACTAAGTCAATTTAGGAGACTACAACACCAGTGCCCTCTTCTGCTTCAACTCTGTGTAACTTCTGTTAGTCTGAGATTTGTTGGTTACTCCCCAACCTTAGACTGCTCATCAAACTAGCCCTAAAATAAACTAACATTGTGAAAAGGTATCACAAATGATTGGTGCATTACAGGGAAGTACGTTAGTTCTCTAAGTTGGTGTCTGGTTACTGATTAAACCCATGTTGGAGCGGGAACAGAGATAGCAAGAAAATATCTGGGTCAAAGTGACGTCATGCTTCTGGTCACTGTTTCGTATCTTTAGGGCTGTAAAACATTGTTGAAATGTATGGTAAGATATAGGAACCAGAGGCAGATGTCAATCTGTCTTGTAGATTTAAGCACAATCTATTAAATTATGTTCCTTTTATGCCACCATTATATTTTAATCTTAATCTCTTGCCTTCAACAGGTCTTAACACAGATATATCACTCAGGTTATTTGTCCTTTCAACACTGGTGGACATCTGTTTTGTCCTCTTTGTGGTGGACATCTGTTTTGTCCTCTTTGTGGTGGACATCTGTTTTGTCCTCTTAGCTGATTTTACAATTGCACTAGTCACACATCTTAAAACCCAACTAACCCACTCATGTGTTTTATTTGTTTGATTAGGTTACCTTTGTTCTTGTCTGTATTGTGACATAATTGTTATAGCATCAATTTTAATTATTTTTGGCCACGTGACTTAAACGTCTTAACTTATCTTCAATGAAAAAAGACATAAAAATGTCTTAAGATTTGTAAATAAAACAATTTATTGATTTCTAATCCCACCTTTAGATATGTCTATTATTATTATTATTATTACAGTATATTTATTTGGTAACTGTAGTTACTAGTTACTTTCAGTTACCACAGATTTAGATTAATAGTAGAAAATGTATTCAACAAATACATTTGGATGTAATATTATAGGTTAAGATAACATGAGATGTTATGTATGTTTATGGAAATTCAAAAGCTGTCCAGCATTGTATAAATGGCATAAAATAGCTCCAACTTTTTGCAATATTAAAATGATGCTTATGCATTAATGCATCAATAATTTTAATCCAATAATATAATATACTGTACATTCTATATAATGAGTACTTTTACTTTTAGCACTTTGAGTGTTTTTCGATGAAGTAAAACTTGACTTGACAAGTAAAAGCATGACTTTTGCTATTTCTACACTCTGGTATTGCTATTTTTACTAAAGGAAAATATCTGACTACTTCCCCAAGCTGCTCTAAGGCAAATTAGTAATTTAAGTCTTGTCAGTATTAACATTTTTGGATAAAAATCACATCTTTTATTCTACCATAAAGATGAGTGCTGTTTGCTATGTTGAACCACTATGTTTCTAAAGTAGCTCAGAAGGGACAAACCAAACCCTGGCACCAGACAGGGGTGCTCATGTTTTTAGTGCATTTTGCGTGACTTGTGACCTAGATCATTTTTTTCATTAAAAAGTAAAACTAAAATCAAACATAATTCATTCACTCATAAAATATAGCCAGATGTTTTTACTGGATAAGGACTATAAGCCATGTGTTATGTAAGAAAATGACATTTTCACCTTGAAACATAAGGAATCCTCAATTTATTACCATCCTGTCAGAAAAAAAATATGGAAAGTTATTTATCCCTTTTAACCCCTGACCGTAACCCCAACCTCACATATCTGTGGAAATATGATAACACTTAAGATTCTTTCATGTTTTACATAATGACTTGTTTTTCCAGCTGTTTTTTACCCAGCAGGTTTTTTTTGTCTCGTGTGTACTTTGAGCACATTGCAAACTAAATAAACTAAGTAATCAATGCTGTTACCTAAACCATGTTCACTCTCCTGATGTTCCAGCTGGCAAGATCATAGGTAACTCGGTTACGATTTACAACCTACATTGAAATAAAAAGACAGCTTGTAATTTGATTTTTTCTCCTCCTTCATCAATGAAGATTTTGGCTGTTTGTCTCAGTACACCGATCATTCTTTGCCTCTGTCTTGTGTGTTTTCACTGCAGTGGGATCGGAGAAGAAAAATAAGAAGAACGCGAAAGTGACGGGAGGCACTGCTGCAAGTGACTTAAATCACCCATTTAATAAGGTCAGTCAAATGACAGCAGCACAATAAGACAATGTCAGCCACATGGAGACACTTGTAAGTCAGATGAGTGAATTTATAGGACACATACTAGATAGATATAGTTCATTGTATGCTTTTCATTTGAAATATTCATATAAATGTGCCTGTTGCTGCACTCAAAATGGGGCATGAGGCATTAAAGGTGCCATGGTATTCAGAATTCACTATAAATAAATAAAAATGTTTTTCTTCAAATAAATAGAGTTACTGGATGACTTTTTGTTTAATTAGTTTCATTAGCCCCTCACAGACAGGTCAAATAACAGCCAGTCAAGACTAAAATCATCAGTCTGAAGGTACCTGAGATAAAAATCACTTTGGATGTAACCCCGGAAGTGCCAGTGGGCCAAACAGTGATCTCCCTAATGCGCAAATAAACCAAAATAAACAGTCGTTTTAAATTGAGTGTAAAATTCAGATATTTGTTTTGTCCTCTCTCGTTCTTATCCATGCTACCACTCACACACTGCCACTGTCACTTTGTCAGTCCCTCTCAAGGTTACTTTAGTTCATTGGGAGTGTCTTATTGCACCACGTGATCCTGATGCAAAGTTACTCAAAGCTGTGCTCAGCTGCAGGGACGTTTAGCCTGCATGGTGTGATGTAGCACGGGCTAAAAATAACACAGCTTCCCTTTGATAGAAAACACACATTTATAACGTTTAAAACACACGAAAATACCCGGATGCGATCTGTACTTCAAATAATATTGACTCGTTTTACATCATAGAAAAGGATCATTATGTGCA